TTTAACCCTGAATAATATTCCATTTTACCTTATGAATAATATTTGTTAAAGGGGACACTTATTTTTATTAACCACCGTCAGATGTAAAGAGTAGTGAGTCCCCTCACTTTAACCACCGTCTACAAGAGATGAAATACTAATTACTATTAGGAAATTAAGATTTATTTATTATTTGACATTAATAGGTTCATACAGGTGGGTTGTTGGATATTCGATATTATATCACTAATTAACTGTTCGTACACGATTATTTTACCTACTCGTTTATAAATAAAAGCTTGATTAGATAGGTTATCTGACAATGGGAGATCCCCGAAATAATTCTGTTTCATATTATTATTTTATTGATAAAAATACGAATCTGTAATAAGTACAGATCATATTATAATGCAGTAATTGCGTGTACTGCCTTTTAGTCCAGTTGGTGACTAGTGCATAGTTATTTGCTCACTACGTAACGTCTATATTACTTTCTGATATTATGTACAATTAATAATATATAGAACCATGTGGTTTTTACAAAAACAATTTGTCGTAATTTTATTTATTTTACTCTTGTCAGGTTGTTATTATTTTTTAGTTACATCGAAATTGTTTAAATTGCTTACAAATTCGTCTACACTTAAAAATAAAAATAATTTTTTTTTTTTTAGAGCTGCAAGCCAATTGTTGTGGTATAAATGATAGATCATTTGTTTGCTTACTTAAAGCAAACGAATCAGAAAGATGTGACTGTGTAGAGGGTAAGTAATAATATTTGTTTATTGGTAATAATAGGCAGGTATAATAAAAAATATTGTTTTCTTGGATTTTAATATAGGATATCAAACTGAGCTTGATTTGTTGTTCAACGATGTTCCTCATGATCTACGTCAAAAGTTGTTACTCAGATCTTTAGCTGATTTTACTTCCGAAGAAATCATCAAACTTCCAACAAGTCTTATATATTTTTTACCGGTTAGTAAATTAAACGTATTTATTAGAACATTAATTTAAAATAATGATCATTTCAGATAAATAAGTTGGCCATGTTATCTGGTACTCATCTTGCGTCTCTCATAATTGCACATGAAGATCATATACCAATAGCCAAGAAAATTCTTCAATCTATTCAAACAGATAAACAGCGCATTGAGTTCTTAAATTTTGTATGAATAAATTATTTAATTTTAATTTTTCTGTTTTCATGTACTTATACATTTTATTTAGTTAGTTACAAAGGTAATAACAAATGATAAAATACTAGATTGTATTGGTGAAACAGTTTATAAATGGAATTATGATGTGAAAGATGGTAAATTTCAAAAGTTATCAAATATATGTGGCTACGCTTTAGCTAGACTTTGGACACCATATGTCCTTACCACAACTAATAGTATTAGCACACGACTGTAAGTATTTAATATATTATAAATGTATAACACATTAATACAGTGTTTCCCAACCTATGAGGGGGAAGTGCCCACTAGAAAAACTACCTACTGATCAAACAATACTCAATTTAATATTATGATAATTATTTCTACTTTCTAATAAATTTATCATGACTTATCATGTTACATGATTTAAAAAAAAAGTCATACATTTTATTTAAAATTGATTGTAGGCGTGTGATTTCTTAACTTTCAAGTGTTGTGTAGAATAAATAAAAAAAGGCTTGAAAACCTGTGCATTAAGAATATGATACCACAGATAAAACTAAAAAAAATAGTAACATCATTAGCCTGTATTTTTAACACTGAGTTTTTAAATAAAATTAATTACTGTTACCATTTTTAATAATAATAATTAATAACCGATGATTAGTTTTTTATTATTATTTATTGGTTAATTTTTTATTTGTAATTTTCCAGTATAATTTAAATGATTCTATAGGTAATCTATTCAACTTTAATTGAAACGAAGACTGAGGGATTACTATTTTAGTTAATAATATTTTTACTATTGTTAAATTATCAGTTTTCTTTATATTTTTTTAATCAAATAATATCCTAATCAGTGAAAGCATTTGATATATAATATTTATAAAATTAATATATTATGAAAACATTTTTATTAAAAATAATATATATTACCTATATAGGTTGACTTTGTTGGCTGAAGTAGAACAAAAGCAAAAACAAAGGACATTATGCAATAAATATTCAACAATTAATTGGAAAAATTTACCTAAAAGTGTTAGAAGATTGTGGTCATTTTTGTCAGTCAATCAATCCTATCCCAATCCATTAAGCAAATGGACAGTTAAACAAACAGCTCTACAGTTTGTTGAGAAAATTTAATTATTAGAATGTCATGTTTTATGTATACTTAAGTAATTTTTTTTTTTTGTTTAGGTATACATTTTTGTTACCAGATTTTAATAACAATGAACTACTTCTTATACCTTTTGATGAATTCTCTAAAAATGCACTATATGACATCGACTTTGAGATTTCTCAAGTATGAAACTATAATATTACCTATTTAAAATGTATAACTATGTATTAGATTATGAATAAATATAATTTCACTAAAATAATAAATCCAGTAGGTATAGAAGTATAATGGTTATTCAGTATATTATGATACTTAATTAAAATTATACTTTCTAGATAAATGTAACAATAATTGTATGTAAACACAATTTAAAAATGAAAACAATGCGAGATCTGCTCTTTAGTTTGATATTTTCACTTTTAAACTGCCATAAATAATGTTAAAACACTTTCTTCATAATTATAATTACATGTAAAGTGTGTACAATTTTTCCGGAGAGTTTAATTTATTTCTTCACATTTTTAAATATTATTTTTATAATATGATTTAAAAATTTAAAAAATGTGTATACATATTGCATTGATTTATGAATTTAAGTTAAATAAATAGGGTATTATAAATATATAAATAAAATTAATTTAACTATTTAAATTAAATTTTTACATTAAATTCATAATAAAAAGAGTTATTACTTATTAATAAGTATTAAGTATCATATATAAATTTCATTGAACATTCTGTAATTGCACGTATTTAGTATTCACTTATATCTTAACAAAAATTTGAATGAAAGATTGTCATAACAAATTCTTCGATATTTGTATATACAGTAAAATTACCATTAAATAAAATTGTCTGTTTAGTGAATTATTTTTGAGAACCATGACCTTCATTGTTAATCATGCGTAAACTATTTATTTATTTCATACTAAGACATTTTAGATTCTGAGTGGAACGATGAATGTATTAATTTTACAATGAAGTGTGTTTTTTTTTTTAAATTTTTTTTGTGTCTGTTTACACGATAAGTAGTCCAAATAATGCTTCGATTTTCAACTTCAGTATCTTGTTAGATTGGAAAGTGAATATCGTTGGTGCATTGACGAGGTCAAAATATCAGTAATTTTCAAAAAAATTAAGGAAAAAAGGGAATTTTTACGCAAAATCGATTTTCCCACAAAATTGAATTTGGTTTTTGGTGTAACATAAAAACAAATGACTGTAGATACATGAAATTTTCACTGATTGTTTATATTTGCATTTCTATACACGATAACATTTTCAAAATATTTTGATTTATTTTGAACTGTTTAGGACATTTTCATTTTCCATTTTTTTTTTAGTTTTTTTTCTAAAAATATCAATAAAATTTTATTTGTTTGTTAAAAAAGCTTTACAATTTAATAGAAGGCTCCTAGTATATTTTTTCAAAGTCAGATGAAAAATATTGAAAATCCTTAGTCACAGTTTTTTCTTAAAAGCATTTAATGTTTGAAAATATGGAAAAAATCACGAAAATTAGCAAATTATTTTGATTTATGAATTCATAAAACTTTTTCTTTTTAAATCTAAGATTTTAAAATGTAATACATATTCCTTATAAGATTATCTATCTTTATCAAAAAAAAAATGTCAATAAGAAAGTCAAATTAAATTTTTATGAGCGTTTGAAATTCAAATTTTTACAACAAAGGATATTCACCTGATTTCTCATGTAGCGATTTCTTTATTTTGTTGTAAGTTAAAAACTAATAACTGAAGATCCATGAAAGTTTCACTGAATATTTATGTTAGCATTTCCTATACACCATACAATTTTGAAAATATTTTGACTCTAAGCATTTAATGATCGAATTTTGACAAAATTTATCAAATTTAAAATTTAATAATTATTTTGTAGTTAATAATTTATAAAATGTTCAACTTTTATATATAAGGATTGAAAATTTAAAACAAGATTCCACGTAAATAGTTAATTTTGTTATCAAAAAATCTAAAAATAAATATGCACATAATATTTATTATTACATAATAAAAAACTTAGAATAACTATTTTAGTTATTTTGTTGTGATTGTATAATATCATTCACTGGGTACTTGGAACTTCTTAAGTGTACTATTATATATCTATGATAGTATAACGGTTTTTTGTTGATGTATAACTCGTTATAAGTACCTAATGGATATTGTGATATGATTAATTTGGAATTTAACATGGGTACCTATTATAGGTCAATTTTTTTTAATACCATAGATCAGTATATAATATGTCTTATACCTAGACTGACATATCGTCTCCGCTCAGAATAGTTTTTCTTATACAATGATATTATATCATTGAATTCAAATTTAATACCATACATTATACAGTGACCCACTTGTAACCTACTGTACAGCAGAGCACCTTTTTTAATATTAACTTTTATGTAAACCAGGGATTTAATTATTCAAAAAATATTAACATAAGTGAAAAAATATGGTTTCAATCCTATATTATGATTTTTATTTAATTAATCAGTTAGAGATTTATTATTAGATACAGCTGATTTAGTATTAATTTTATGCATACCTATCGTTATAGTTTACAAAATTGAAAGAAAATTTTCTAAGCAGTGTTGAAACAAAGATGAACAACAATTATAATTTTAAAATGTTTATCTAGCTTTGTCTACATGAAAGAAAAAATTATTACTTATTTCAAATTTTTATTTTTTTAGGCTCGTTTTTTATTTTCATTGTTGATGGAAAATAGCACTTTAAAAGATGTGAAGATACTGCATCCAACATTCTTTTTTAAATTGTCACCATTACAAATTGACCAATTTGAACCAGAAGAATGGGCTAATGAAACTGTAATATCGTTATTGGAAAAAACACATTTAAGTTATCCAGCTGCTAAACAGGTATATAATTTTACAGGTTTATAATTTTATAAGAAAGAAATTAACAAATTTGATATACTTTAAATTATTAATTGTTAGAATGTATGGTTTTTCAGAATCGTAATGTTTAATCGTAGTAGTGTCTTACAATATAAATATCATAATAATAAAAATAAATTAAATAAATTTGGAATATTTGTTTGGATGTTCAGTAGAACCTCCTTTATCTGAACCTCCATTCTATGAATCTTCTATTATCCAAACTAAAATTAGTGTATCCGAACGTTTGCGAGACTTAGCTGTAGAATAGCGTGCGCAGCTTGTCGTCAAATCAAAATCGATAATTGTATCAAAAAAAATATCATAAACATATGTTCCTATGTACTTAGTGATTAAATATTTCTAAATGTACATAATGTTATTCTAATATACCTAATAATAAAAATAATAAATGTGTAATACATAATAATATGTATATAATTGTATGTTAAAAAAATAAATTTTCAGTATCCGAACTACTGCGGTAGTTGCGGTCCCAATTTATTAGTTTAGATAATCAAGGTTCTACTGTGTTTGTCTAATAGATGTTAACCAAATCAAAATTTTAATTGCCTTTTTACAATTTATGGAGACACTAAAAAATGATTGAAAAGCTCTTTCCCAGAAATCCATTCATTTAATTTATTCCTATATATGGTTATTTACCTTGTTATTTATATATATTATATATACTTGAATTATATACACTTTTTGCATCCTAAGTAGTCAACTAGAATTTAATATAAATAAATAAATAATATTCTTTATCTTTATTAAGTTTACAAAAACAAATTTTTTTTTTTTTAGATATTTAATAAAATTGCTAGTGATCGTCTATCGAAAAAACATATAAATGGATATTATGAATGGTCATCTGATGACTTGCGACATCTTCCATTGATATACACTCAACCAGCCACTTCATTCTTGAAGTTTTGTATTACTCCGCCAAGTATTCAATCATTTATTGCTGTTGATTCTTATATGCTGACTAATAGACAAGTAAAGAAATTGAATTCATAATATTTTAAACAATTAAATTGTTTATTTTTAAATTTTAGGCTTTTTATTTGAGTGGTTGTAGTAGTATGTTGTCATTTCCTTCAAATGATCCAAAACTTTTACTTGATTTGAAATATATGATTAAAGCAGTTCCAGTTTCTAGTCTATTAAATATTGATGATGGTAATATAAACTATCCAGTTATATCTCACTTGGTATCCCTAGTTGATGATCATAACTTGCCAATGGCTATTTATCTTTTGAATATAGCAAACCCAGGTAAATATTAATTTTGTTATTATTATTGAAATACTTGCAGCAAATAAATGATGATTTATTTTTACAATTTTTTTTTTTTATTTTTAATTTTATTACAATAAGGTATTCCTAGCTATTACTATCTGTACATAGAGATGTGTGCGGTGACTGCAGGATGTCCTCGTGGGACGCCAGCTAAGATTGGTTGGAAAGAAGAAAAGTTGTCATTTATTTTAACAGAAAATTGCCTGTTATATAGAAATGAAGCTGTGGTGTCGAGTAGATAATTTGGTGTGTTGATAATTTTGAGCTTGTACAACAATCCATGATGCCAAACCTTATCGAAGGCCTTAGAGATGTCAATGAAAACGGCACCCGTGTGACAGTGTTTTTCAAATGAGTTACTTATATGTTCTGTTATATGCATGAGTTGTTGTGTAGTGTAGTAATGTGCTTTGAATCCAAATTGGAATTTTGGAATTGTGTTTGTACAGTTTAGGTAATTTTGAAGTCTAGAAAGGATGACTTTTTCAAAAATCTTAGATAAAGATGTTAGTAGACTAATTGGTCTGTAGCTGTCAGGGTCTGTTTTGTCTTTCCCGGGTTTTTTAATGAGGATTATGATTGCTTTTTTCCAGTTATCCGGGAAGTGACCAAGACAAAGAAGCGAGTTAAATAGGGAAGTCATGAACATAGTTGCTTTAATAGGTACTTTTTTGTATGTAAGATTAGTGATGTTGTCGTGACCAGAAGATTTTTTATTAGGTAGTCTTTTGATTATTGTTTTAATTTCGCCTGGAGTAACAAACTTGCTTGAATTTTGTACAGAAAAGTTTGGTGATCTCAGAACTTCTTCAACCCTGAGGTCGTTAGTGTTGTGTGTGTATTGGTTCGGGGTTGAAAGTGTTCAAAAGGTTTTCCGAGAAAACTTTGCATTTTTCCGCTTCAGATATGATGAGTTGTAGTGCGAAGAGAAGGAATGCAGTTTGTCTCTTGGTTTAATATTTTTTTTGTTACTTTCCATAAGTTAGAGTCATTTTGATGAATATTTGACAAGAACTTGTAATATAAATTTACTCGGAATTGTTGCAATGTGGTTTGCACTTCTTTAGTAAGCTTGTTCAACATTTTTTTTGGCTACAGGATGTCTCTGGTTTTGCCAAGCGCGTCTGGCGTAGTGTTTTTGTTGGATTAATTTCAATATGAACAGTGGTAAGGCACCCTGATTATCTTGTATTTGATTTGGGGGTGAAGTGTCCAAGTACACCTGTGCATCGTTAGTAACGACTTCAATGAAGTGTTCGGTCATTTTGTCTGCTGCTAAGACAGTATTTATATTTTTGGGAATATTTAATTTTTTATTTAAGTAATCCGAGTAAGTGCACCAGTTTGGTTTACCTTTGTACAATGGGTGATAACAAAGATGACAATACATTTTAATGGGGTGTATTGAATGTCTTACTATTATGGGACTCATTTCTAATGTCCCACTGTTATTATAATATATTTTGAATGTATATTCAGAGGATGTCACACCCGCATGTGTTGTTTCCGTCCTACAAATGTGCAACATAGCAAAAATTGTTTTGCGCTGGACAACTTTTCTCGCATCATATTTGTTGTAGAACTACCAAATTTTCACAACATGCAAAGAAGAACTTTATGCTACAGAGTGCTCTTTTTTTTTAATAGCACTATCCAATTTTTTTTTTACAAGCAAATGAAAAAAACAAAAAACCAAATGTTTAGAAGCAAATAACTTTTATTTTATTTATGTTATCTAAAATGTGGGCACGCTGTTGCATGGATAATTTTCCACCCTATATATTCAGAAATGTTGGAGCCACTGTTACAAACACAGAAAGATAAAAGTTGTCCCACGCAAAACAGTTTTTGCTATGTTGTACATTTATAAGACTGAGACAACACATGCGGGTGTGACATCGTCTTAACCGTTGTTATAGTAAAACTAAAAAGCATGCACCGACGCTGCGTGTATGCACAACAGTAGTTGTGAATTGCTTTTGACATTTTATTTTCTTATTATGAAAATGTATAAGTTTCAATATAATTGTTTTTATTAATTAAATAACTAATTCATTTGTAAAAATATTGGGCCGATATTTTTTTATCAATTTTAATATATTGAAATTATTTAATAAATAGGTTATTTAATTGTTTATTTATACAACATTAATGTATAACTTTTTCAGTAAAACAAACCTGCTTCATTAAAGAAATGCTGAAGAATAAACACAATATAATGTTTGATCAGTTAGCCCCTTTGGATGTACCTGGTCCTATATTTGATGTCCTCAAACAATTATACTCAAATTATACTGATAGAATAGACGAATTACCAAAGCATATAGTAATTGTTTATAATTTTAAATAAATAATAAGAAATGTATTAAATCCATTTATGATTTGTTTATACCATGTCATTGCTATGTATTTTTTATTCAGTATATAAATTTTAACAATTTTTTAGCTGAATGTAATATTAGAAGACAATGAATTACTTGTAAAATGGACTGGTAATGATTCAGCAGTAATTAAAGGTCTTTACAATGGATATACGTGTAATTTCATAAGAAGATTAAATAGTGTACAATTCATTATATTAATATCAGACTTTAATGCATACCTAAAACGAACAGGAAAAGTAAGATGGAAATATATTTAAAGAAAATTATTATTTTTAATTTATAACCTTTATTCTATAGGTTTTTCCTAAAAACTTGCAAGTTTGTGTTGCCGAAGCATTTAATAATTATCTCAAGTTAAAAACAAAATTAACAGCAGATGGTACCATCGATTTATTTTTAGAAGCATGGGAAGTTGAAGCAGTGGGAGGTAAATTATTTTTGTATTTAGTTTTTAAGTTAAAGTAAAAAATATTTTTATTAGGATTTGTCTTGACAACTCTTCCTGTTGATGTCATTCTAAATTCAAATTTGAAGGATAATATATTGTATTCCATTGGACAATTAAGTTTACCTGAACTAATGATTGCATCTCAACCTCAAAAACTGTCATTAATGGTTGACCAATATATCACTAATACTGTAAGTCTTAAGTTAAAAATAAAAAAATTGTATCATTATTGTATAATTTGTCCAATACAGCTAGGAAATAGGTCTACCTTAAGTTTTGAGCATTTACATACACTCGGAAATCTAATCCATTTTATTCCTACAACCTATTTGAGTGTAGTGGATGAACAAGCATTTAAATTCATGGTAGAAACTGGTTTAATTGATACCAGAATGTGTGTTGATTCAATAGCAAAAGAAAAATGGGCTGATTTATTAATAAAAGCATTTGGGTAAAATTTATATTACATTTTTCATAACATAGTTCTGTTTAAAATTATATTATTTAGGTACTGAACAAATTATAACCAGCTATGTTTTAAACATTTTTATTTTCAGAAATGTTGAAAATTGGTCGAGTGATACTTTAGTAACATTGTCTGATCTTCTTATTGTATTAAACAAGGATCAATTAAATGCTATACCAGATATGTCACGTTTAAACTCTTCCGATATTATACTAACTAGGTACGCTGATGAAATTGAATTTTTACCGAATAATATTCCATTTTATAAGGTAAGGTTAATGTACGTTAACCCAATATAAACTATTTTTAATTAAATATTTCTTTTTTAGGGTTGCATATTAATTTTGGGTGATCAGTATAAGGATTTTACTAATTCTTTATCAACTCTAATTAATTTCTACTTAACTTCAATGCAGATTCAATTACAAATGATCAGTCCAATCAATTATAACCTAAACGGTCAAAGTGAAAAAGTTATAATGTCGTCAGAAGCCAAAGCAAAAATGTACAAACCAAATGTTTTAATTTCATTACCAAAGTCTGATGAATTAAATAAATTATCAGCAAAAACCAGTATGTTTAACAAATTTTTTGGTGGTAAAGAGAAACAAGATATTAATGAATCAACATTAATCTTAGAAGTTAGAAATTCTACTACTTCAAGTCCTATATCTTCAACATTAAATTCCTCAAAATACAACCAAAGCTTAAAAAATATAGAAAATGATCAGTATACTGAAAAACCATTTGACCTGACATTTATACCATTAATTAGTACTACTAATAATTATAGTAAAATGTCAAATATTAGAAACAATACTGATTACCAAAAAAAATTAACAATAGATGATTCTAAATTGATTATCAATGCTCTTAATTTACAACGTAAGACTACTTTTTCATTTTCTGTCAATTCACTAAAATCTGAATATATTGAGACTTAATATTACTTTATTATTAGATGTTGCAGAAAATAGAAAAAAGTTTCATGATGATTTTAATACTGAAGCCTACAATATTACTTCAAACCAATCTCTTTTATCAGAAATTGATGAAATATCAACAATGAGAAATGGCAAATCATACAAAAATTATGGCCAACAAAAAAAAAGATCTTTAAAACTATTTTTTGATACTGAAGTGCTAGTAAGGAAATGCTGTAACCTAAAGTTGTAACTTGATACTTACAATGTTTATTTAATTCTTCAGATTAGTTGTGAAGCATTGAAAATGTTAGGACCGTCTTCAGTTACTTCCCTCCAGTTTGACTCTATTGTCCACTCTATGAGTGATGAGGAATTGGAGAACTGTATTGATTTGTTGGGTTCATTTGACATCAACCCTGAATTAGCTAGACACATTTGGTCTAGAACTAAAGAAAAGGTATGTCTGTTAAAAAAAATATTTACTCTTAAGCGTAACTACTGTTTATTTAAATGTGTAGGCTGCTTTACACACATATGGTTCTGTTTTGTCGGGATTATCGGTAAATGATATAAAGATACTAGACTTGAACATTGATAGACCTTGGTCATTGGAATTGATACATTTACTTTCTAAATATGTAAAAACTGATAAAATTGTACGTATACATATAAATTGAGCATATTATTTGTTGATACTAATATTACATTATGTTCATTTTTAGCTTGAGGAGATAAAAAAACAATTTTTAACAAAATCAAAAGCAATTATGCCTTCGCATTTATGGGGATCATTTGGTTCATTGATATGTAAATTACCACCTCATTATTCCAAATTAATTATGCCTAATAAAGAATTATTCTGGAAAACAAGCTCAGCTTTCAATACCATAACATCTTGTGATATGTCTTGTATAAATAATTTAGCATCAATAGCAGTGTCTGTTATTGGACAATCAAATTCTTGGAAAACTGCCGAAGTAGAGCGTATGGGAATTATTCTCTCTGGTAGTAACAAACTATTTTTTAATTTTATATAATTATCAGCAACTATAATACATATTGTCATTTGGAATTATCTATATAGGAATTAACATCACTCAATGGAAACTGTTATTAAACTTTAATCCAGAAGCATTAGAAGGACTTTCTTCAAATACTGTCAAATGTCTCAATGAACAACAAATCAAGGTTAGTAAGAAAATCAATCCGTAGTGTAACTTATAATATATCTTTATATTTTTAAACTTTTTATTAATTCTTATAAACTGTTAATATTTTGTAATATATAGTTAATGGATGGATCCCATATGAAATATTTAACACCCAAATCTGCAAATGCATTACTAGAAAATCATTCTGCATTCTTAGATTTTCAAACAAAAGATACACTATTACAATTAGTGAACTTCGAAATTAAAGTGAATAATAGTATTAATGTTTTTGAAAGTACAAATTATTCCAATGAAATGCAAGCACATTCTAAAGCTCCTGTAATACATGTGTTATCTTTTTCGATTTTATTTGCTATCATTGTAGTATTTTTCTTAAATAATACTATTTAATATTGTGTATTTAAAATTATTATTGAGCTTATTGAGTTGTTTGTATAGATAAACATTTTTATTTTTATTATTGGTGTAGAGTGTTTAATGAATATTATGTTTTATGTTTTAAAGATTTTTATATTATATATTATATATTTTTATAGCATTATGGATTTTATTTTATTGTTTACTATATGTCAAATGACAAAACACATATCTGGACAGTATACCAGATTTTTGTTAGAAATAAAAAAAAAATAGGTATGTTTTATTCTTTCACACAATTATTAACAGTAGTTAATTATTAAAGTTATTGTGGGTACCTAAATAGGTACTATATATATAACAGTAAATTACTTTAGGGGAAAAAACGGAAGGGAAATCTAAGTAATAGTAGTAATAAGTTTATAATATGGACTATAATATTATACTTTATATTTTATCTATATGTTACTGATTATATTATATGTTTAGATAAGCTTATCTAGAGACTATATTATTGAAAGTATGCTGTTCCAAAACTGAAAATCTTCAGACTATGTGAAGTATTTACTATTTTATTTTGATCAAATATATATTTTTGGAATTAATGGAATTGTGATTTCAAGAACGGACAAACAAACCACATTCTGCCAATTTTCTCACCTGGCACATGTTACTGTTACCTACATGTTATGTTCACAAAACAACTTCAAAGTTTAGAATGTACAAAGAACCAAACAAAAAGATTTAATTATTGATTTTCCAAACTTGAATACTTAATTCATTCTTATATTTATTAGTCATTGTCATTGATTAAAATAAATTAGATTAGAGATTAGATTCTTATAAAATCAAATAAAACCAATTTAATTCAGATAATTTACAACCAAAAAAAAAAAAATATTCAAGAAAAATATTTTTTACTGTATACCAGGTAAAATAGTAATGATAGAAATCAAATAACTTTTGAACGGTGCAGATCATAAGCGTGCACAGACCTCTTGAGTCAGGTATGGCCAAATTCAATCTGATCACCCACCCCTTGTCATTGACACACAAGAAAAAAATTATAGACATTATCACTATAAACTTTTAAGTGACCCATTTGTTGGTTACTGGAAAATGTAAACAATTAGTTTTCATTATTTCACACATACAAAATTCATAAATATTGATTTAAATTTTAACCAAATATTATCTAATAAAACAATTTATTCAAAAACTTTCAAAATATAATAACAATATAATATATTAAAAATTGTCAATTAACATTAATAGGTATTTATTTTATTTATTACTATAAATTACTCATGGTAAATCGACTTTAGGGGTATTAGTTTATGAAACATAAATATTAAAATTTAGATGAGCGGAGTAGTGAACACACATTTCGCGGGGTAACCCCTCAACTCCGCTCATCTAAACTTTAAATACTTATAATGCATAGACTACTCGCACTAAATTCAATTTTTATGTATCGAAATACTTAGAAAAATATTCTACTTTGGAATATAAAATTAAAACTCATATGTTGTCAAATAAATAATTCTAAAAAATTAAAAAATTAAAAGACAAAAAATTTTTAAAAATATAACTTTTGAATAACAAAGTTGTTTTGTAAACGACTCGAAATTATTTAAAAAATTTTTTCAAAAAACAATTACACTTTTTGAAATAATGAGTGTTCAATTTTAAATAAATCGCCCTCTATAGTCTCTCGGGTAAACACAAACGTTTAAAAACTAAAAAGGCTATACCTACTTTTAGTCATATCTTCATAAGGTACCAATGTACCATCCCACTCACGTATAAAAAAAAATCTCAAGTAGGGCTAAAGCCCAATCAGCACTATCCGTGCACCCCCCATATGGTGCAGATTACAATATTTTATGATTAAGTAAATTTATTTTTTAATAGATACATTTTTTTAGTAACCGAAATAAAAACCAAAACAAAAAGACCAATCAAAAATAATCTAAGGAAAAGCGCTACATTTTAATAAAAACAATTTACTCAGATTCTGAGCCGAGGGATGAATGTATTAATTTTAATGTTTTTTTTTTAAATTTATTTTGTTTATTAACGATAAAAAAGTTCACTCTATCAACTAATACATTTAATAAAAAAATCCTAGTAAGTTGATATATTGTTGCTATTTATAAAGGAAGTTTTTCTCCCAAATTAAATTAAAAAATTTGTTATACACACGAAAATATTTAAATATTTTTCCAGTTGAACATTTATAAAATGTTTATATTTTATAGGTAAGGCTTGAAAATTTAATTTTTAAAATTGAACAAGTGTGGCCACTACTTGCACAGTAGTTGTCTATTATGTTATTTCAAAGCCGTAACTGGAAAAAAAATTGGGGGTCAGTGGCGTGTTGAACTCCTTTTTGGTGAGGAGCAAAAATGTATACAAGGTAACCACCCGCCCACCCCCCTCGATGTTTGTAACGGCATTTCCAACATAATAGCAAAAAAGTTTAAATGACAAATTTTACAAAATTTGCCTACATTTGCAACGATTTGTATAGTCGGATATGATATTTCTACTATATACCTAGTCACCTAGGTGGCTAGGTATTTTGTGGCAGGAAGCACACCCACCAACCAACAATTTTGAAAGAGCAATTGTTCCAAAATAATACCTTCGACACGTCACTGGAAACTCAGCTAGGCCATCAGAGGGTACATAATATGATATTATGTGAGCTACAGAGTCCCATTTTTTTTTTTTTTTTTGTTTAAATTTGTTGACTAAACTCAGGGCCGAATCTTGAACTCTGAGGGCTCTGGTGCAAAAGAAAATTTAGGGGCTCCCTTGAAAAACAATTCACAGTATTATACCATTATATTTTTACTACAAATCGAATTGCATTATACATTTATAACCATATTTTAACAGATAGGTATTACTGCCTACTGGTATTAGGTAATATGATATTTAAGAGTAATCTTAAATAAATAATAATTTATTTAACATCATAATTACATAAATATCTAAGATATTTTATTATAAGAAATATAATTTATAAAGCAAAATTGTCAATCATTTCCTCAATATTTAGATTTTTAGTTCGTTCTTTTTATATATTTGAAATTGCTATACTAGATGAACGCACTCGTCCACATGCGTTTCTTAAGTCATTTTTTATTAGTTTTGGTTAGGAAAATGATTTTTCTGCTCCAGTGATTGCTGTCATTATACAATAAAAATAATGCAAGCTCTTGAAACGTCACTTCGGTATAATATATCATTCGAAAATCATTTCGACGGGTCGAAGTACCTATCTAGTTTACGAAAAAACTATGTGGTGTTCATAAAACAACAATAAAAAAAACTATAGTTATTATTAATATTATTTTAAATTCTGAGCCGAGCGATGAGAATGGATTGATTTTATAATAATATGTGTGCTTGTTTTCTTAAATTCATTTTTCTTCTTTTATCACATTTTTTGGGTTAGAAATTTATTTCTAAAAATTTATTCAGAAATAAATTGTTCTAAAACATGGTATGGAGGAAAACATTACCGACAAATAATGACGAGTGATGACAATATAGAATAATGTTATTGTGGCCATGTCTGAGAATTTATGTTATATAGGTACCTAGCAAATGCATTACACTTTCCACCAGGGGCGGAACTAGGGGGGTGAAGCCGGGGATTGATCCCCGGGCGTAAAATTTTAGTGGGCGTAATTTTTCTTTAGTTCTTTATTTAATGCTAGGTGATAGAAGTTAAGAAAACATTTTTATTTCTCATTATTTGTTTATGATGTTGTAGTGATGACGTTGGAATTAATGAAAAAAAAAAATAAAGTTAATATAGTAAGATTATGAATAGATTCGTAATAGTATACTAAGTATATACTGGTATACTGGCATTAGCATACCTACTGCAAGCATATACAACTAATATACTATAATTATTAAGATTCTGAGTGAAAATGTAACTATTAACTATACCTAGGCATTTATTGATGCTGTGTTTTCGTTAAAATTGCTGATACCTACACAATAACTGTTATAAGATTATCAATCAACGTACGATACGCATATTATATCTGTATATTAAAAATGATGTTAATATATTATAGTTTATAATATTATGTATTATAATATTTACCAAGATAGATATACATTTGTTTATGTTTAAAAAAAAAGATTTGATTTTAAATATTTACTTTTTCATTTTTTCTATTATAAATTGTTTAATTAAATACAATTTTTTACTGGCCTAAATTGTGTACCCTAATCAGAATAAAAGATTTTATATTTTACCATAAAAATCTATTATAATTGAAGGCTGAGGCCTGAGGCGCATAGAACCAAAACAGCAAAAGTGTTTACAATTTTTATACAGGATAGGTAGGTAATTAAAGTTTTGAATATTTTTCAACATTTATATATGTATAACTAATATTATTATTATTTCTAATAATAAATACAATTAAGTAACCAATACAGTATTTCCAGTAATTAAAAATGTATCAACAATATGTTGACTAAGTTTTTAAATTTAAAGTGCTTTTGGTGTGATAGTTTATTAGTATAAACTTTGTTACACCACAGTCCGCAGAATATATTAATTATTATATATTATTATGTGTTTAAAAGTTAATAAGTATGTTTGTAATTTTAGTTCCAGTTATGATAAAAAAATTGTGGGGAATGATATTGTATTTTCAATCTTGGTCTATGATTGGGCTTAATTTTAATATTTTCCCCGGGCGTTTTATTTTAATTATCGAACAAAAACAATATAACATTTTTTAATTTTGAATATAATTTCAAAAACGGAAACAATTTTGGAAACGGTTGCCGTTATATTATTATACAATTTTGTATGTTCAAAAAAAAGTTAGAACAAAAAAGAAAAAGCCGAAATTTGTAAAGTGAATATTATTCGATATAAGTAAAGAAAATTTAAATACAAAAAAAAAAAGGTGGGTAAGTGGATGTCGCTCTGCTGTACTGTAGGTTACAAGTGGGTCATGGAGTATGGACCATGGTATAATGGATGGTATTAA